TCCCCTTTTCTAAAACAAACAAACTACTCACTTCACTCCTTGCTCCACGATAAATAAGTGCGGTAGGCTGTGTCTTAACCCACTTAAATCTCATCTGCACCTATGTTTCCGGACCATGAATGCTAGTTTTAAAGACCTGTTATTAAATTAACGTCATTCAAGTCCTCAGTCATAAATGCCTTAATATGGAAGTTTAAACTTTAGTGTGCAATGGAGAGGGAAGGCGCTATTGACGACGGCTTCCAGGTTATGTCTTGGCACCGCCCCGATCCGTCAAGGCTAGCGATTTACAGCGCATCACTCAGCCACTTTCTCGTTCAGGTATAAACATCATTGGGCGTGTCCTCACGGGGGTGGCAGTGCTGGATGTCGTCGGGCAGCTATCCGTATCCAGTTTCAATTGACAACAAACAACATACAAAAGAAGTCTCCCCGCCAGTTTGCCAAATAAATCTCAAAACAAAACCGTTCAACAAAAGGGAATCGAAAATACTTCCAAATCCCACAACCCCAACCAAGTCTTTAAAATGCCATCCGGACTCGGCCTCGACCACAACGCCATCATCACCCTCCGCCCACCCTCCGCCCTCAATGACAACGAATGGCTTCCCCCAACCTTGAACTGGCTCGACGGGCGCTGGCACATAACCCACTCAACCCTTCCCCACCGCACAACGCAACGCAATACGCGCATCGAGCTCACCATCTCTGCTGCCGCCAACGGCAAGCAATCATTCCACATTGAATCAAGCCACCAGGCCCTCGAAGCATCCAAACCCAAAACCGAATCAGTGTCTAGTCCATCACAAACCCCGCTCGATTTTTCAGCCAGCAAGGGAACAGCGTCCCGATTCGGATCGTGGCAGATCCTGGCGTGGGGCAAAGAGGGCCAGCTGGACGACTGGATGATTGAGGACGGCGACGGGTGGATTTCGGACTCGTCTGGCGAGCGGCGGGCCGATTGGAGGAATAGCTATGTTGTTGTTCACGTGGAGGGCGATGGTGAAGACGAGAAGGAAAAGGGCGACGGGCCGGGTATTGAGGTGTGGAGTCGTCGCGGGTGGTGGAAGCCATTGTATCCTGAGACGGTTGGCAAGATTAAGGATGCGCTGAAGGGCGCGGGGCTTGAGTATTTGGCTGAGAAGTTGGTGGGTGTTGCTTTGGATGATACGAGGGGGTATTAGGGTGATCATCAGCCGGGCAGGGCGAGCAGATATTTGAGTGGATGAGACTTTTGAGTTCGGAGTTGGGAATGTTCAATTCCGATTGCACTATGTGAGAAATCTGCTCGTAACTAAAAACGATCGACCAAAATCCTTAGCTATGAGCTAAGTCCACTATATGACCAAGTCCCCGTCTAATCGTTCGCCCAGGGGCTTTGGAACAGCTCGTTGTGCTGGGCAGTCCAGTCGGTGTACTGGAAAAAGTCTTGCCGAGGCGTTCCTTCACTAGAGTTGTCCCATGTTGAGGTAGAATCAAACCCCTCCCTCAAATCAGAATCTTGGCCATCTTCGTCGTCGGAAGAAGAGAGATAACGTTCTGTGTCCGACATGCCCCCTTCGTCCACCTGCTCGCCGGTGCTGTACTCGCCACCCGTACCCGAAAGATCCTCAATGAAATTATCCAAGACCTCGCCGTCAAGGCCCCCATCATCCATATCTGAGTCACTGCTTTCGGTATAATCTGACCCATCGTCCATGTACTCACAATCGCCCTCGCAGACACAGTACACCGCTAGATCGTGCCGCGTTTGGTCCTCGTCCTCAGGACTACGCCACCAAGCGTCATTCCAGTAAGGACAACGGTCCTCTCAGTCCTTCCAGAGATTCTCGAAGTCTTGTCGGGAATACGCCTCGGTGTATTTGACCAACCGCGCGTATCCCTTTCGGAACTCCAAGACACTGTATCCGCACAATTCTAGTGCAGCATCCCAAAGATCCCCCGTGTAGCTTCCAATCCAACCGGTGTATTTTGTGTCGCAGTTCCATGCATATGCAAGCTTTGAAACGGACCACCCATGGCTATCTATTGCGTGGACATTTGGGCCCTGCCGTATGAGGTACGTCAAAGAGTCCTGCCACATTTGCGACGGACGGGAAACGGAGCTTAGAATAATGTGAAGCCAGCCCTGACCAAGGTAGTTGACCTCGTCAAATCATGCTTCCTTTAGCCAGAAGAAATGAGAGCTCTTGGACGAAGTCTATCTGGCAGCCGGATTCCGGGTCGGAGGTCTCATAGTATTTGAAGTTACAAAGCGATAACAGCGGCGTGCCTCCTAGTTCATCCCTTGAGTCCGAGAGACCGAAATGTTGGCTGTGTTCAAACATTTGGCGAAGAATGATCTCATTCTGACATATCCAATATATTATTAGTTTAGGAGGGCTAGTGATGACCGATACAAGTACTGGGGATGAATCGCAGTATAGATAATAAGGATTTATCTTCACAGTGCGAAAGTATTTGCAACGACTGACCGATTGTTTGAAGGCTCTAGGGGGTGCACAGGTCATTTGGAGGGAGGATCGAAATCCCTTTCCATCTGCATTTGGGTCCGCACCAGCCTCCAAGAGTATGTTGGATGATTCAGCAGCGGATTTAGAAATGGCTAAAGTTAAAGGTGGACTATACGGTTGTTAGCTCCACGTATTGTCTGCTATCTTCGATAAACTACAAGGGAGGTTGAACATGCACATACCGGCCAGAGTCATCAAACTCGTCAATTTCCAAACCATTTTGAATGGGGAACCGTGTCATGGGTGCATTGTCTTCCCACGCCGCAGCCTAAATGCGGCCGTCAGTTATGTTGTTCATTCATATAGCATTGCGCTGCGACTCACGTGCAAAAGAGACCATCCATCTGGATCTCGATCTTGAAGACCAGCCTTCCTTTTGGCAACTAGTAATATCAAGTCCTCGACTCGGCCTCTCATGGCTATTTTAAAAACTTCCGACTCCCATGGAAGAATGTTGCTCACCAACACTCTAGGTAAAGTTGAAAATGAGCCACGAAATACTTGCTCTTGCAACACGGATATCGAAATAATGGATTTGGAGGAGGTATGTCTGAAGAGAATCTTGGCAACAAAGTCCCATTCGCTCCCGCGATTGTCATCGGAAGGGGCATGGCCCGCCTTGTATTTTCGCCGTCGATTCTTGGTTGTCACAGTCAGACTCCCAATCCTCGTGCCGATGGTTTTTTGCTTGCGTTGCTGTTGCAACAGAACGCCATGGGGCATGGGACCAAGCACCCTCACTGGGCCTGTTTATACACGTTTAGTTACTGAGTCTTTGTCCTTTTGTGTTTTAAGCTGTGGCCATGGGCACTTTGGGGAATGATGTACCTCCACTGTTGATGATGATGGATGGTGCGGACAATATCAGACGGCTGGCAAGTCTCAGCTCCTTCGAGACATCGGATTCTTCCTCGGCTCTCGCTTGTTCATCAGCAGTACATGACCCCTCGCAGGGTTTGAGCTGGCCCTTGCTGTCCTGTGCGTAGTCGAGCAGAGTCTGCAGATCCAAGATTAGTTGCTCTGCGCTGTCGGACTCGACGGTGCAGTCTTTCTCATCGATGAGGTTGATGAGTCTACCGACGCTTTCCTCGAGGCCCGAGTCGACCGACGGGGCTGGTGGCTTCTCTAGGTGGGTCGCCCCCTGGCGAGAATCATCCTCTGCATTTGTTATCCTCGGGATTTCTGGGGCTGGTGTGGGTCACAGAGCTTGGCACTAAGTTGAGCGAGAAGTCTGAGTATTTCGGACGACTGCGCTGTCGACATTGACAGTTGTGTCGCCGATAAAGACTGCTGTGTCACGGCCAAGAGAGTAAGCCGCACATTAAGAACTGAGGTGTGATGTCGAATTGTATCCCGAATGCGATCCATGTCTTTCTCAGTGACGGCAGTCTTGATCCTCTTCCAGAACTTGCCGATGCGTCGATCATCGGGGGAGAGACCAAGGCGCTGCAGCTTGGCATTGAAGTTGACCAAATCCTTAGAACATCCACTCGACAAGGTGGCCAAGTCTGCTAGGTCGTCGCTATTCGTCAGCTCGGAATCAAGGTGCAGCTGTGAGAAGCGTTGCAAGATTGACTGAAGCTGCTTGACTTCGTCCGTGAGCTGCTCGACATTGCGCGGCGCATCCTTGGTCGCTGAAAGAACATCAAAAATGGCCTTAGCCGACGATAAGGCAAGGCCAATGAAGGCCACCGCACTGGCACCGGTGCTCAAAGGATCGGCCATGTCCGTCGTCTGCTCAAAGCTTGGAAAGAACAATCGGTTGAAAGGGAGAAACCTCTAGAACAAAACATTGGGGGAGAAGCGGGGTATACTTTGTGGCCAAGTCGGAAAAATCATGAGATGGAAAGAAGCCCAGTGGTGCGCCTTCCGGATTGGCGGTGGCTGTGCGCCCATTTGCCTCAGCTTGCTAGAATAGGTTGCATTAAATCAGCAGCTGGCACTGGGATTGGAGGAAGATACCAGGTTCACTGACAGATAAAGAACAGTAAAACCCACCAAGACGTTCCAAGGGTAAACCACGATTTTGCACAGCCCGAGGTTTGTCCCCGAAAACGCCTAAACACAGAGCATGCACAAAGTCTGTTGCCTTCAATGATGCATCCAGACCATTTATAACTGTTGAGGGGACCGACAATAGCAAGCTGCGACCGAGAGTTTAGAACCTCACAAATGTGGCAGAACTAGATCTAAAACACGTGCATTCTCCTTTATTGTTGGACTTCAGCTGGGTACTTCAAGTACTGTGCTGGACGTTAATCACGGCGCGGAACCATCAGTCTCCGATCATGCGAATTGCAGCGCGGGCTGTGTGGGACGCAGATGATTGCACGAAATTCGAGGTTGCCGCGGGCTGCCAAGCCGGCTTGAGGGTGACAAGATGACATGAATTGTTGTTTGGCGAGTTCCATGGACAGTTGAAGGAAGATGAGTGGCAAAAAAGTTGAAAACCAAATTTCGACTCAGAAAAAGAAAAATAAGGTAGGTCTCTCCCGCCGGGAATTGAACCCGGGTCCCGAGCGATATCAGCTAATGATGACAAGCTCATATACTGACCACTATACTACGGAAGATTTGTTGGTGTGGGCACCAATCGTAGCTTCGAATTGTTGAAAGTTGGCAGCCTAACAGGGAGCTATAACTGGTCGTTACAATGGACGTGCCCCACTTTCGTATCATCAACAGCCCCTGAAGCAAACGTTGGGGCAAACCCTTCCGCACTCGAATAGTAAGAATGAGATGTTATTTGAGCTAACAGTCAAGAGAATTGCAAAAAGGGGAAATCCAAGCCGTGACAAAGATAATGAATTCGACTATGCCCTTCAAAGCAAAACCCATTTATATAAAGACTTCCAGTCTAGGTACATGAGGTAAAGCTCAAGTCTTCCTTCAAACTTGAATGTTATTTCCAATAACTCATTCAGAGAGTTGAAATGCCATTTTACAAATACGGCCATATCCTTCTGTAACGGCACGAGCACACAGTCAAAACCACAGCAAACTTCACGTATGGCACTTCTTTCCAGCCATACATCAGCTTCCACAGGGAACAAAACTCAAGCCCAGGCGCCAACGAGGCTCATGCAGATAGCACCAAACAGCACCAGAGTGCAAGCAATGGCGCGCCTCTTTCCACGCAGAGTAGCCCAACTGTGGTCACTCAGAAAGTCTTCTGCAAGCAACTCGATCAACGATGCAAAAACAAGGAGGCCAGACGACACGGCATTCATGGTTCCAACGAGGATCAGCCCAAACTCCGAGTCTGGGCTGTATAAGGTGTGCGTGGCGAGACCAATGGCTTGGCCGATTGGTGTCCTGGCGATGATTGTAAGCACGTTTTCAAGTCATCGTCTTTTCTCTTGACATGGGAAAATACTTACGTGCATCCATACGCCAGCACCATCAGCCACGGCTGCAGTGTCTTTTCAGGCCACTCGATCGAGGCAATACGCGCGCCGAGCGCAAGTCCTTCAAAGGTTTCTGAGCAGTAAAAAAGTCAGAAAACCATCCTCACGCGCGAAAGCATGAGGAAAGAAGACTTACGATGAAAGGCAATAGCAATCAGCAAAACAACAAAATCACCCCCAATGGACACGCTAAGCGCCATGCCAATAAACACGCTGTGGAACAAGATGCCGACCTCGAGCAGCATGCACTGTAGGATGGCCTTCTTGTGCAGCTGCTCGTCCGTCAGGCCCTGGCTCTGGGATTCCTCCCGGAGCATGTCCTGCTCGTATGAGTTTGCTGCCACAGATCCGTGAGAAGCAGGCTCAGTCGCGCTACTACCGCGGCGCGGGCGCGTGACAGCAGCTACAACAGTCGAGTGGCTGCAGTGTCCACCCGTCGTGGGTTTAGTCGTCTTCTTTTTCTCATAACCGCCGCCACTGTCCCCTGCCTCTCCAGGACGAGGGGTGAACTGACGCACTGGACTAAAAACCATCTCAATCACCGTAACGAAGAATATTCCAAAAAGGGCGATGGCGCCGGGCATGGCCGGGTAATCCATCGTCCAGAAACTCGAGAGGCACGGATTGCCGAGCGAGATGAACGCCGTGGGGAGCAGGTGCACAAACGCAGTGGCCAGCAAAATGCCGGTGCCAAAATGGCGAACTGCAAACAGAAACGGCTCCGGGATGCGAAGGAAAGGAAACTTGGCGGCGAAGAGAGGGATCGCGCAGGCCAGGCTGGACACGCCAAAGATGATGAAGAGGGCACCGACATGCAGCGGCACGTTGTAATCGCTGGGGCTCGCACCCTGGGTTGCGCAGGCGTCGCTGCTGCGCTTCATGAGAGAACGACGTGGTGAAGTGCTTTCAGCTGCACATGGCGGTCAATAGGCCGAGCTGGACAACACAGAGGATGTGAGGTCCAAGGCAGAAGGGGGGGTGCTCACCCGTGCCAACGATACTTTGCGTAGACGGCATAACAGCACGAAAAGAAGACATGGCGGCGGGCAAAAAAGCCCCTGCCATGTTGACAAAAGCAGCTGCTACGAAAACCGAAGCAAACCACCAGACCCAGCCCCAAATCCATGATGATGATTGGGGCCGGGTAGAACGAAGGGACAGACGGGCTTGGCCTTCACCACCAAGCACCGTCCTAGGGGCAATGAACGGCACTTTTAACGAAAGTATGTCAGCGATGTGCCAATGAGACTGGGATATTAAGGGGGGTTTACAAGTAACGAGGCAGCCATTCATCGCAGGAGCGGGAACAGAGCCCGGCCAGCGATTCTCTGTGACGGGACGATTCATGTCGGCCAAGTTTTTGTCGTCGAGAAATCCAAAAGAGGCGTCGGGCATGCCGGAAAAGCGGCTGCGCTGGACGCGGGCGTTGGCGATGCCGTTCAGGTCCTGGCGCGTGGTGAGGTCAGGGGCGAGAAAGGGCGGCATTTGGTTCCAATCGGGGTGCTCAAAGTCATCGTCTGTTCTGGAGGGGCGATTCATGATGGTGGTGGGTGCAATTGTAAACTTTGGTGATTCAAACGAGTGGGGGGGTTGATTGGTGTGAGTGGTGTGGAGGAATGGCGGGGAGGGGGAAAGACGAGGTTGATAATAAAGAAAGACTTTTGCCGGGTTTGTTGACGATGAAGGGACGACGACGATGGATGACTCTAGGCGCGTTCGTTTCGTCTCGCCTCTCGCCAAGCGTCGGCCAAGTTCCGTTTTCGAAACCTTTTATGTGGGGCGGAGCGGTGAATGACCACTGAGCGCCCTGAAGCTTGGCCCCAATCACCACTGTTAGCACCCGAATCCCGGCGCTTTGATGAATTCCAGCGCCCAGCAGGGGTGTGGGCCCGGCTATGTTACGCAATGTTCGGAATCTTACGGGCAGGTGACACTCCCAAAACCCTCTGGTGATTTCCTTGGTATTTTACGTGACTCCACAATTCGGGCGTTCGCCAGCATATCGCCGAGGAAAACTGCAAAATGTTGACAATGCAAAGTATAGTGTACTGTAGGCATCTTGCTTATTCTGAATGGCTGTAGCTTGAATATCTGCCCATGTGATGATCATTTATCTGCGTTCTTGTCAAGTGGGATTGACTGGGCGGTGTCATTATGAGAAGCTCGAACATCCAATCCGACTTTCGAAGTGCGCTTTCATGTAGCAACAGTCAATATGATCCCAGTCATATCATCTGCTACATTCTTAAATTTCACTTTATCTCTCGTATCGTCTGCGATTCTTGCAGTGATGTAATGAGCAGTGCTGAATGCCTTCAGCACTCGTTCCTTCCCTATCAGTTGTGAAAACCCTCCCTAACTCACAAAGTCACGTGTGGATGCCTAATCCAACCCAACAAGACCGGCAAAAATGGTGAGGGGAATTTGAACATTTATTTCAACCTCAAGTTTGTCAGCTAAATATGATGGAAGCGCAAGGGCTTTTTTTACGGAATTGGGTATGCAGTTATCCAAGCTCGGAGACTGCTTGGCGATGAACCTCTCCTGACCGCGACTCACGATTGCTCGGTGGAAGGAGTCTGGTGAGGAGGGGTGCTCATATGCTAGGTTGCCTACCGCTGTAAACGTCAGTTAGGCCCCGGCATCAAATATTTTTGACATTCCTCGCCAACTCCGAGAGAAGGCAGCGGGGACACTAGAACTAGAAAACTCTTTCTTCTGCTCGGCAACGACGCCCCCCCCCCCCCCCCCCCCCCCCCCGAATCCTACTTCGACACCTAAAAAAGGTTGCCCACCGGAGACACTTCATCTGATGCAGTCTTGAAATGGGCGCAAGAAAAGTTGATAGCTTGTGATGCCGACCACCGGGACTGCAAGGAGAGACCAGGCGAATTTCTACCAACCCGACTCATAGACATCGAGGCATTTGGCAGCGGCCACTGCCCCAATGTCGTTTTGCGCGAGACTGCCAATTCTACTCTCGACCAATTGTCCACTCGATACGTGGACTTGAGCTACTGCTGAGGAGGGCTTGTACCTGAATGCCAAACTACAAGACGTACGCTACAGCAAAGAATGGCTAGGATTCCGGTGGAGACACTCCCCAAGACTTTCCAAGACACGGTAAACTTTACTCGAAGGCTCGGAATCCGGTACATCTGGATAGATGCCATATGTATCGTGCAAGGCGATGAGAAGAATTGGCTCCACGAGTCAGCCAAAATGTGCGACGTCTATGGCCATGCCCATCTCACCCTTGCCTCGGCCCACTCGCCCGACTCAGAGGGGGGTCTATACAGCCGAGTTGACCCTCCCGTACACATTGCGGTACCCATCCACGGCTCCGAGTACAATCTTCTCACGAGAAAGACTTTGAGCATATATTTTTGCAACCATATTGGAAGCACTCGTTTTCTAAGGAATTGGATCTTCCTTTGATGCGGAGAGCCTAGGCTTGCCAAGAAGGAATTATTTCCCCGCGTATCCTCTTCTTCACACGCAATGAAGTTGCTTGGGAATGCATCAAAAAGTTCGACTGCCAGTGCGAGAGCAACGGGTCAGGTCCGAGTCCCAAGTCGGGGTTCAAGACTGTTCTCAAACAGGACGAGATCCAGATTTATTTATCGTGGTGGGACATTGTGCAAGACTTTTCTGGGATGGGGTTGACAGTGGACTCGGACAGGCTGCCCGTCATCTCTGCGATCGCTGCCCAGTTACACAAATCCCAGCCAGACGACACCCACTACCTGGCAGGATTTTGGTCCGGCAACTTTTTCGAACAATCCCTACTTTGGATGGCGCTCGAGCTCCCACCTGAGTGCCCTGGTCGTCCGAATTCCCTTCCTCCCCCCACATGGTCATGGGCATCGGTCAAAGTTCCAATCCAGATTCCATGGCCATACGAATATACACCTCTTTTTGAGGTCTTGAGTGCGTCCTGTGAATACGTGGATCCAAACAATCCATTCGGCGCCGTCGTTCGAGGGAGGCTGGTGATTCGTGGTCGGTTGCTGACGGCCAGGTTTGGGTATTCCACTGGGGGTCTACTTCAGGGCCCGGCCACTATAGAGAGGGCTTGGCACGGGGAAAAGTTCCTATCTCTTCGGGAAGACGTTGACCTTGGGCCGCGACGGGATGAAAGTGATCCACTGCCGTTCGAACCCCGCAGGCCAGTAGACTAGCCGTCCGGCGAGCTTGTGCTTTTGGCAGCCGCGACAGCTCCTGGTCGTAATGTACTCTACATTGCTCTTCGTCCAATTGAAGCCGCAAACAGTGGGCGTTGTACAAGGATCGGGATCGCCAAACAGTCGGATATCTACAGATGTTTACCCGTCATGACGGGAGAAGAGACGGAGGCCCTCCTTGCTGAGTTCTCAGATCCGGTAGAAATCATACTGGAATAAGAACATACCAGACCACACAAAAACAAACCTCTACTGACTCTCGAGTCAACGTACAACAATCTCAAGTGGAGCACAGCTGTAGTCTCCCACTGCAACAAGCCTCTACTCCGAACCACATACCGGGATACATCCCGGCTCACGACTCACGATCCACCTCGCCCCAGCAGCACAGTTTCACAACCAGTCTCCTCAAACACATCCATCAAACAAGCACAGGGCGTGTGGCTCAGTTGGTAGAGCGTTCGCTTAGCATCTCATCATCCCCTCAAAGATGACTCCGTATGCGAAAGGTCCTGGGTTCGATTCCCAGCCCGTCCAATGAAGAAAGTTTTTGTAACAACTTTCCCATCCACTTCTTTTTGTAATGGCTTTCTTATTAGTTTGGCTCAAATCTATACTCAAGGCGGTACGCAATTCCTTATTATTGCTAGGTCTTGGAGAAGGGGGGCTCATGAACATCACCTTTCTTTTCTTTTCTCTCTTATTAGATTAGTTTTAAACTATATTCAAGACTGCGACTATGTTGTTCCGGATTGATTTGACCCGCCGTCAGAACCATTTGCAACATCGACAAGAGCAGAGAGAACCCTCCAAAAAGAAACACTGCCCAGAACGGCCAGAACCGGTGCGTGTCGCGCCTGTCGTACCACAGAGCCCGGATGGTGTTAGGCGACTGGGCAATCACGAACTTCTGCAGAGTCAGAAGCCTCGCCCCAAAAGCAGGGAAGTCAGATTCTGCCGAGTAGATCAGCTTCTCTAGGATGGCGTCGATGGCCTAGAACAAGGCGCATTTGCTCGACCGTGTCCCGCACAGCTCGTCCAGAAGGGGATCAATGATTCCGCATTTCGAGCCCCACGGCATCATTTTCTGATAGAGCCTGTTGACGCCCTTGCCGTGTTGTCCAAAGATCAGGCGGTAGGTGACAAGAGTTCGACGAAAAAGTCCTGGTTCATTGGGCTTGTCGTGGCTTCGACCTCGAACCCAGAGTCTGCGTCGCCGCGTGTTACCTGGTCCCCGAATAATCTGCCCCGCGAGAAACAAAATCAGACTGTTAGGATGACTGCGTCCACCACGAGATGAAAACAGGGAAATGGGTGGGGAGAGTAAAGATTATAGGACAAGGACTTGCTGGTCAAAGATGGTGCTCTGTGAATTTCGAGGCATGGCCAACATGGCGCGGAGGGACGGGAAACGAAACGGCTTCAAGGTTGCCGTAAGCTCGTCAAACTCGAGGTGCAGAGGAAAGGAGTCAACCCAGGCAATCTTAATGTTGGCAACTCTGAGCATGGCCTGGCAGCTCATATTGCAGCCCAAGATTGTATCGTCTTGGTACCCGTTGTGGTAGAGCGGTGGCCAGTGGTTGTTGTTGTAGTTGTTGTAGTTGTTGTTGTTGTTGTTGTTGTTGTTGTTCGAGTCCTCTCCCCGCACTAATGAAGGGGGAACAAATTGGCCAGAGCGATGGAGTAGGAGTGGAAGTGGCAGTGTTGCGTTGCCCTGTGTCAGCGGACATGAGAGCGACTTTATTGTCTTGCTGCGGAGGCGCTTGTCTTTGTTGTTTGAATCCCGGAGATCCAGCGTGAGAATGCTGTCAACCTCAGTGGCAGGCAAGGTCGTGTAGAGCATGGTGAGCTTCCCGACTGCCGAAAACACGGGCAAGGCATTGTGAGCGAGTGTCTTGGATAGACATGATGTGGAGTGTCGAGCCCATCAGGATTGTAGTCGTCTGGCTCCGTCCCCCCACTGGATTTTGAAAACCCAGCGAGTCGCACATCGCCGACAGTGACTGCTTCCCGGAGCTCAAACTCTCGGCGATAATTCGCAGGGTCTGCCATGGGAGCAACTGCTGACTTGAACTTTCGTCCCCGGTTGAGCCCTCTAGCTTCAACTTAGGCGATGTCTCATAGCCGAAATGGGTGCGAAGGTAGTCAAGATACCATTTGCAGTATCGATCAAATTCCAGTTTAGTAATTGGCAAGGGTCCCAGTCTTACTATAGTTACTGAAACAGTCGCCAATGAATGAGTATTTCGAATGCACACGTGGTGCTGACACGCAGAAAAATGATGGTACATGCAGACCTGCCAGGCAATAGTGTAAAAGGTGAGGCTACTACAGACCCCTCGCATCGTATGGTCATTTAGCGACTGCCACGCGGACATTTGATGCAGAGGTGTTCATCATCACACCCGTCAAACCCCTAAGCATCCATAAAATTTCAAGGATGAGTGCCATGCTCTCTGGATTGTCATACAGGGTAAGCCGTCCGCGTGCGCGTCCTAGTATCAATAAGAGTAAATAGATCGCTTGCCGAGCCACTGCTCAATTGCAAAGACTACCCGAAAGGCTGTGTTTACGCTTGGCTGAGAAGCCACAGGTGAAAAAGATGTGCGAATGTGCATGAAACATGCAGTCAGTGGCTTGACACTGCGAATTGCATTGGCAGACCTGGCTCTCACAATCCAGGGTTCGCTTTTTTCCACCAGAGTCGGGCGCAAGCGTATCCAACGGGGCCACACCAGTTTCCAATCGATTTTGATGTCTCTCTCTCGCCTGCTAACCATGTCTATTCAACCTTGTCCAACTGTGTTGGGAGTAAACAGCAGCGGATTACCGGATGCAGGATAGCCGGCAGAAGGTATTGTTGTCTGGACTCAAGGAGTGTGTGGGTGGGAGGCCTAATTTAAAGTTTGTTGGGGAAATTCTTCCAATGAGAACGAGTCGCCTTCCATGAGCCAGTTAGGGTGTCAGACAACTTTGTAAAATTAGTAAGAAAAACTGGCCATTGCATTAGTATCTTGTGGTATGGTATCATAGCCATGCTGCCAATGCTATCAGTGAGTGTACTCCATGGAGAGGTTCTCATGGTTGGGATGCGTCCAACGGTGGCCTCAAGCCGGTAAAGTAACGCTCTGCTGGCAGGCTGTCCCATGGACCTGTCTATCCTGGCTGTCCAAAAGCCCCTCCATCCGGCCATTTCCCGTGGCAAGGAACTGTCAGCGCGTGACCACCGCTGAGTTGCTAGGCGAGCTCGTGTCGTCAACGATAGCCTTGCCAATGATGATGGCGCCTGTTCGACAGGCTACGTTAACAATGTTATCACGTCCCGGAAAACTTGCTTTGTGCCGTGTGAAGTGCTGCATAACGATTCATGTCAAAGGTTAGAGCATTCTTTCGGGCCACGGCTGCTTCAGGGCAAAGATGGATGGCAACAAGGACGAAGCTTTGTATGTCATTCCTTCATTACCGACCAAACTTCCACCCCCCAAGTTTGAAATTTTCCCACGATTCAATATAAAGCCAAAAACAGTCAAGACCCCAGCCTCCAGCTAACATATAACCTCAGGAGCTTACTCGACAAAGGCCTCAACATTGCCGAGTTCCGCGAAGGCGCAGGAGACATTGCCCGGATCGTCAAAAAGAAAGCAGCCATCCTTTCGACGGGCTCTGACGCCGAGCAAGAGATTGCCAAGATGTACCTTCGCCAAGTCCATGACATTTTGATAAAGAATTTCGTGAGCGAAGCGTATGTTCTCGACAGTGACATTGCGGAGGACTGGGACGCATGGGTCTGTCCGTACTGGAGATAGGGAGGGGTGTCAGAATGACTCTCGGTTGATCCATGTTCTCATTGATGCACTATAAATTGAATTCCGAGTGCTTGGTCATGTATCATATGTCTTTTACGATTGATAAAGATGAGGAAACTGATACCTTAGGTAGCTGAGAGTCTGCCGTGAGCATGAAATATACAATATATTCCACTGCCAGTTGAGCCGCTGTCTGCTAAGCGCACGTGAGGTTCCACTGGTGATAAATCAGTCTCGCAGATAGCAAAACACAAGTTGCCATCACAGACATGACTCGGCTCGTCCCTCTATCGATATTCCCACCGTCACCTTCATTAACTCAACAAGGGCCGCTGGTCTAGTGGTATGATTCTCGCTTAGGGTTCTATCCTGAGCACAAGTAATTGCGAGAGGTCCCGGGTTCAATCCCCGGGTGGCCCCCTATCTTTTGCTCCCGTCGTCAACAAACTGGGGTCCGGGGTGCAGAGATTTCAAGTTTTTTGTCTCCACCACCGCCAAGCTCCGGAATCCCCTCTTCTGTCCACACTCGAGCCATAAACAAACATCCAATAACAAGGGCCGCTGGTCTAGTGGTATGATTCTCGCTTAGGGTTGTTTCCTGAGCACAAAATATTTGCGAGAGGTCCCGGGTTCAATCCCCGGGTGGCCCCCATCTTTTTGGCCTCTATGGGCGTTGCGGCGGGAAACTTGGAGATACTTATCAAGGCGTAACTTGAACTCCCTTTCCATGCTTGAGTGCTTCCTTGCCGGGTTCCCAAACACACAAAGACAACGCCAGAATAAATATTAAGCGCTTTTCTACGTTTTCCCTTTTGCCCCTACACCCCCCATACTCGTTCCTAACTACCTAGCCAGACATGTCTCATGGCAAGCAGGTCAACATGCTCTTCAGCTTCTGCAGCACGACGGCCTGTTTGTCCGCCGAGGCAGTCGACTTATCGGCCGCATCGCCCACACTGACAGAAATATAACAATCGTCCCCGGCCTTGTCCCTCACGTCAGTCTCGGTCGGCAATCTGGAGCTGCCGCACTGCGAGACGTCCGGCAGAGACAAGAAACCGGGGTTGATGCGGCTCAGCGCCCACTTGAACTGGCTCGGCTGGGCGCAGGTCGTAGTCACCTCGGGGAAATTGACATTCAGCCAGACTCCTTCGGGAAGATACGGCTTGCCACTCGCAATAATCGCCTTGGTGAGGATGGTAGCTAGGCTGGCGTAAACCAAGCTGCGCGCCGGGATCGGGACCGTGTTCCACGCGAGCGTGCCCCCGGATTCGCCAGAGAACGCAATGGCCGGAATGCCTTCCTCCCTGACCGCATACACGGCCGTGCCAACCGTCCCAGAAAACGGAACGCTCAGAAACAGATTGCTGCCGACGTTGGGACCCGAGACTGCCAGTTCAGGTGCTGCACCGTTCCACGCCTGCGGGCCGAACGTGTCGATCCCGTACCGCATCGACGTGACCGGGAACGAGTTGACCCAGTTGAGCCGCGGCGAGCTGGCGTTGCGCCCGACTGGTCCGCTATTCGCCGGGCAGCTGTCGTACTGGCACTCTTTTGTTCGAGGGATGGGCTCGACATCAAGTGAGCCTGTGACGAAAAAGTCAGCATTTGAAGGCTCGATTTTTGAAGAAAGAAGTACGAACTTGAACCCGACTTGTTCTCCGCTGGCGCTGATAACACGACATCGTGTCCCGCTGCATTCAGCGCGTCGTGGAACGAGCGAACGTACAG